GTAAAATGTCCATCCAAAAAAATATATACCAACCACTAGTGTGCAGAGTTTCAACATAAAAAATACATTAATTGACACAGGTAAATCAAGATTGGATAAAAGAATAACATTATAATGGGTGATTTTTTTGCTAGTATCTTTTTGGCAACACTGTTTTTGACAGATGACGCGTGCATCGTGTCTTGTGTCATTGTCAAACTTGTTCAGTTTGGTCTATAATTTAACCATGAATCGACTTACGAACGAACAACGCTTGCAAATTATTGAATTTTACTATCAACATTCATACTCGGGTAAGAGAGTGCATCGAGCACAGCTTCCAATTTATGGGTCGGCCTACTGAGGGAGCTATTCGGAAGCTTGTGACTAAATTTCGAACCCAGTTTACATTATTGGACATTAAACCACCAACACGCAGACGTAGAGTGAGGACTGAAGAAAATATTGCGGCTGTATCCGCCTGTGTTAGTGATTACCGTGAAATGTCGATTCGCCGCCGTTCGCAGCAATTGGGCCTCTGTTACTCCACTACGTGGAAAATTTTGCGACAGGATTTGGGTGTAAAAACTTATAAGATACAGCTGGTGCAAGAATTGAAGCTACACGACCTCCCACGACGTTTCCAATTTGGTGAATGGGCGCTGGCAAAGTTGGAGGAAGATCCACATTTTTATCGAAAAATTGTGTTCAGCGACGAAGCTCATTTCTGGTTGAATGGGCATGTTAACAAGCAAAATTGCCACATCTGGCGTGAAGACCAGCCAGAAGCATTGCAAGAACTACCAATGCATTCCGAAAAAATCACTGTTCGGTGTGGATTATGGGCCGGTGGCATCATCGGGCCGTACTTCTTCAAAGACGACAATGGCCGGAACGTAACTGTGAATGGCGAGCACTACCGTGCGATGATAACAAACTTTTTTTTGCCCAAAATGGAAGAGCTGGACTTGGCTGACATGTTGTTTCGACAAGATGGTGCCACATGCCATACCGCACACGAAACAATGGCCCTATTGAGAGGCGAGTTCGGTGAACAGTTTATCGCACGTTTGGGGCCCGTCAATTGGCCGCCTAGATCGTGTGATTTAACGCCGTTGGACTATTTCTTGTGGGGCCATGTTGAGGCTAATGTCTACAGGGATAAACCAGCAACGATCGACGTACTGGAAGCCAATATTCAAGCATTTATTCGTGAGATACCGGCCGATATGTTGGAGAGAGTGTGCCAAAATTGGACCTTGCGCATGGGCCATCTGAAGCGGAACCGCGGCCAACATTTACATGAAATAATCTTTAAACATTAAACAAATTATATCGACCGTTCTATGGACTCAAATAAAGATTTTTCAAATTTTTTGTGTTTTTTTTAAATCAAATCCTATACTTCTTAAAAAATCACTCGTTACATACATATTGATGCATGGTAAGTAAGTAAGAGATAAATTTATGTAAATGATTGCTCGAAAATTATTTTTCTTAAATAAGTTTTTAAATTCTTGAAATTTAAAGCTTTAGTATCAGAGGATAAAGCATTCTACATTATAGTAGCATTATAAGAAAAACATTTAGTAAAAAACGAAGTTTTTTGTTGTATCAATAAAGCGAATATCTCGTGAGTGCATAGAACCACGAAATTTTAACTTATCTTTCAAAAATGGGAGACTTGTGGTAAAGCTTGTGAATATAACATAGTAAATGAAATTTAAATAGATAAGGAATAGATAACCATTCCAATTTTATGAACGAGGAGGTAAGGTGGTCATATTTTTTCAAGTCCTGCAACATGTATTTTGAATTTTTGTAAGCGCTTGACTGATACTGAATCTAAAAACAGGTGATAAACAATGTCGCAGTATGTAATTTTTGAAATAATTAATGACTCACAGAGATTTTTTTTAGTTTTGTAATCGAGAATTTGTTTGTTCAAGTATAATTGCCGAAGTATTAAAAAACAACTTTTTGTAACATTGTTCACATGAGGGATAAAATTCAGACATTCATCAAGAGATATGTCCAGATTTTTTACAGTTTCACATACTTTTATAATTTCAACATCTAATGATATTGTCTAATATTTCTTAATTTGATTTATACATTTTTTAGGAGCGAATATATTTACTTTTGATTTTTCTGAATTTAATTTAGGATTATGAATTTTTGAATACTTGTCGATAGACCTCAAGTCTTCATTAATTTGAGCCTCGGCAATTATTATATAGTCAGTATTAAAATTATTGTATAACTGCGAGTAATCTGCAAAAAAACTGAATATTGCAGTGTTTAATAGCCTTATCAAGATCTGAGATATATAAAATAAAAAGAAGTGGCCCAAGAACCGACCCTTGAGGCACTCTCGATGAAATTAAAGCCTCAGAAGAAGTGTTCATATCAATGACAACACTTTGTGATCTATTTTTTAAAAAGCTGTTTATTAGAGCAACTGATGATTTAGTGAAACCATAAAAAATACATTTGGCTATTAAGAGTGAGTTGTTGATGGTGTCAAATGCTTTAGAAAAATCTAAAAGAATTAAGGAAGTAGTTTGATGGTTATCCCAAGCTCTGACAATATTATCAGTTAGATCTAACAATGCTGCAGCAGTATTATAACCCTTCCTAAAACCACACTGTCTAGATGGTAGTATACCACATTTCAAAACATGTTCATTTATTTGTGTATACATTGCCTTTTCCAATAATTTTGAAAGTATAGGCAAAATGCTAATAGGCCTCTGGTCAGTATAAGAGCTAGAATTACCCACTTATTTATGATATGTAATATATGTGTTGAAATTAGGGGAAAACATAATTTAAGCATTTCAAGTGATATTCCGTCAGTTCCAAATGCATTGGATTTTAAGATATAAGATATTGAGCGTAAATCTTAATAATTTATTGGACAGAAACTGAATCTATGGCTACAAAAATAATTATTTTCATAGAAAGAGATCTTTTCTGAACATGGTTTAATGTTATTGTTGAAAACAGAACAAAAATATTTGTTTATTTCTGTAGGATGTTTGAGATGGGTGGGAATCTCGCTATTTTTAGATTTTTGTATACGCATTAATTTGAGAGCTTTATAAACATTCGCAGAATCATTCTGTTCACTAAGGAATCTTAAATAAGCTACTTTATCGAATCTAATTTTTCCTAATGTTGAGTTCCGTAATCTTTTGTAAAATTTCCATGATTCCTCTGATCCATCACGTCGAAATTGAGTAAGTGCTTTGTTTTTCGTCTTAATTAAAAGTTTCACATCTGGCATTAACCACGGACCAAACGGCTTATTGACTCGCACAATTTTTAAGGGTGCATGAATATCAAAAGTAGACTTGATACCATGAGTCAAATATCATACCTTCTGGTTAATGTCATCTAACTGGAATAATTAATTCCAAGGAAAGCTACTAAGATCGTATTGAAAATTTTCCATATTAAAATTTTTGAAATCCCGATATCTGATAAACTTCTGTTTAGATTTTCCACTATTAAAGATTGTTTCGCAAAATACCAATGTAAATAAGTCTGTATTTACTGTTCCAGCATTAATGCAAATTCCAGAGTCGCTCAAAAATATAGGATCTACGAGTAGTAAGCAGTTCTCAGTAATCCTAGAGGGTTCATTTATAACCTGGTGGAAGCCATATGTTTTAAAACAGTTGTCTAATTTATTATTGGCGTCCAAAAGGTTTACATGCATGTCACCGACAATAATAATTTGATCAAATGTCGGTCAAAATATTTTCAAAATAATCAATAGCTTTATTAAGATTGCCACCACAAAAGCTAGACTCAAACCACTAATTTTAAATTTTATCCATAAATTCTCAACTTCTGGTATATACTGCACGTACTCCTCGCTTTTTAACTCCTCGCAATTTTTATAATTTCTCACATAAACGCCTACTCCACCACCACGGCTGCCTCTATCTTTACGAAATAATGAATACCCTCCAATATTCAACAGATTATCTTGAATGCTATTGTTAAGCCATGTTTCAGAAATACCTAAAATATCAAACATAGAATTTTGCAAGATAAAAGAAATGTAAGATAATGAAGGTAGAAGAGAGTGAATATTTATATGGCCAAATTTAAATATTTTTATGCTAAGTACTAGACATTGAAATGTATTAATATGAAAAGCAGTTATTCTTTCAAAATAAGGTTCGGGATGTATGCTCTCTTTGGAAGAAACTGAAAACTGGACAATTTTTATTTGTGGGTGCGTGATTAACATCATATTTTTTATTATATTTTTTGTTTGCAAATATACAATTAGAACATACATGATCTAATTGTGTGCATGATGCATTCATGATTTTTCCCCACAGTTTAGGCAAACCTTCTGATTACTACATTTATTTTTCGAATGATGGAACTTGAAGCAGTTTGTACATTGGGAGATTTCAATATTTTGATGTATTGTTACGCTTTGAAAGCCAATAAGAATTTTGCCATCATTACCATCAAAAATTTGTTTGAAAAATCTACCTGAAACCTATGCATACACAATATACGTGCTTCTCAATGTAATACACTTGACATGGTTAATTTTGATGTCTTCTTGGGATATGCCGTGATTTTGTCGAAAGATATCAGCCTCCAGGTCGGTTTTAGTAACTTTTTCTTGACTGCGATAACCAACTATTTTTATTTTTGGCCTCAACATCTTCGGTTCTGACACTCTGTAAACTGAAAATAATTCTTTTTCAATTTATTTCTTCAATATACCATGAAAACACTCTTCAACACTTATTTCAACTCTTCCATTCTTATAGTTCTTCACTTGTTCTACTTTTATATTCATTTTGAACAGATGCAATTTTTTATTGAGGTCAATCCTGGTTTGAAAAAAAAGTGTTCTTGATTTGGAGTAATTATCATACTTTTTATCGATCTTTGTTTGGTTTTCAAAGGAGCAGTATTATGGACAGACTCAGCATATGAAATACGTTTTGTAGTATTAACTCTTTCAATCTCTTCAATTCTGGAGTTTAGTTTTTCCAGAGCAGAAGTAATAGACTCCTTCTATTCTCATTTGTCAGTTGATGAATTATTTTATCCTTTTCGGTTAGTAGCGTTTCGTAAAGTGACAATTTATCAACTTTTTGTTTAATTTCGTGTCTCAGTTGTTCATCACTTCTTTCCAAATATTCACAATCTTTTGAAGTTTTCTTCTTAGAATTGACCGAACTTTTTACATCTTCAATAGCAGTGGTTTCACTGTCTTCATCAGTTTTCTTTTTCTTCTTGCTCATATTGTACATCCAGTATTATAGTTAGGATTATATCATTTAGGTAAGTGGCAAAAATGTCAGAGCAATGTAAAAATTTCAGTTAATAGAAAATGGCTGGAAATGATTTCTGTCTTTCGTACCGTCTCTTCTTCAAGAATACGTTTGCAGAATGTCCTTCGAAGTAATTCTATTCAGCAGCAGAAAATTTTCTTTCACAAAATCAGCAATATATGCTGAACAAGGTGGGAGAGGTGAGTATCTACGTGTAAGATGATATATCTACAATATATCTAGATGAAACTTGGTTCGACACTCATGATGTTGTTCGATATGGTTGGGTAGACGGTTCCCAGAATTGCACCTTGAATGCTCCTTGTTCAACGGGGAAACGTATTATTATTCTCCATGCTGGAAGCAAAGATGGTTTTGTACCCAATGCCCTGTTATTACCAGCAAGAAATATAGTGAAGCCTTCGCTATGGTGATCGCCAGCGTCGGATGATTCTGATACGGCACATGAAGAAGAACGTAGATCTCCTATTTGTCTGATTATGTTTACATTATGCTACCGCTGTAGCAGTCTGAAGAACCACCCTAAGCTATTTATCACTCAAAATATCACCCACAGAAATATATTCATATTGCGCTTTTTAAATACAAAACCAGACGTTTACAAATAAACCTACTTTGGTATTGAACCTTATCTTTCTGTATAAAATGTGACGTCTATGGCAGATATTCCTTTGAGGTGTCGGCCGCTCTGGTTTTTATGAGTTTTCAACTAGAATTGGAAATAGTATACCTCGCTTTGGAAATCAAGCTATATAGCTTGTGCGCGCTTCTTTCGCTTTTCGGTACGAATTCTTTGAATGGAGGACTTGCTTATAAGAAACTCGTCAGAGTATGTCGAATGGCCTCAAAGGTTGCCTCAATTTTAAAAACAGGATTTCTCATACTTACACACTTATCTAATGCTGCCATTAACTTTGGAGTTACGAAAATGTTCCTCAGTTGAGTTTGATTAGTACCAGGCTATGTGCTCTGAGTTGGGATGGGCAAAGTTTCTTGTAAATATATCTCGGAATCTGATGAATTTTCTTGCACTGGTTCGTAAGATGATGTAGAAGGAAGCAACATATTTAGCACGCCGATTTTCTTCTTTTATGGCTAATTTCTAAATGACAGGGTCGACCTGACTCTTTCTGTCGCTGCAAGATCCTATCTTCATTTATTTTGATCAATTGAAGGACACTGGCATACGCAATATCAAACAGATTGTCCAAGTTCGTGGCAATCTGTTGTCGACGTTGCTCAATCACTTCTTGTGTTTTACTTCCATTTTTTCGCAAATATCTCCAAGCTTGGTATAAGGTAACTAGTTTCTTAACACAGTTAGGTAGAGATTTAGTCAATATTCGTACCTTTTCCCAATAAATAGTGCACTCACGAATAGTAAGGTTGGCGCTCTCATTGACACTTAATTTCACTTCCCGGATATTATAGAATAATATATAATAATAAAACAAATTAAATGAAAAATAAAAATTAAACCAAATAATTGATGTAAAATATAAACAATAATTGAATTAACGGAAAGTACGAAAGTACAACATATTACAGAAAAACATAATACAAGTTTTTTGACATTATGTCAAGCATCAATATGTTTAACCTCTAGATAAAAATATGAATCAAACATGTACAGTAAGCATACAATGCAAGTTATTTGCCAGACATATGCCCATTGCCCAATCATGTAATTGGCCTAGCCCAAACGACCACAAATCAGTATTTTTGAGATACTGTCAAAATTTATACCACAAACAGCAGAAATTGAATTAAAATTTTCACTCAATATAATACTGGTGACTTTAGAAGCAAACTAGTTCTAGTTCTCTCTCAATGGAAGCTTTTGGTATTTCTAGTTCTCAAAAATCAATACTAGATAAAATTACGCTGGCACCAAAGTTATTGTGTGAGAGTTTATATAAAATTTTTGCAGAATTAGATTCAGATTTCCTGATTCAAATCTAAAAGTAAGATGCTCATAAAGTATGTATACCCGGTGATTTTCCAATGTGGCTCATTGCTACAACTTTTTTATTATTGAAGATCGAAAAACGAAATTTGGGGCTTGCATATTATAGATGAATTTACATATTGACCTGCTTTGACGTACTTTCGGTTTGACCGGAGGCGACTCCAACTTTCGATTTTTAAATGGGACACCCTATATGTCTTTACTGTTGAACATATTTATAGTGGAAGCTGGTTATGAGGCAAGTGTAACTTGTGAAGTGTGGTCTCAAACTGTTGTCGGCAACGGGAGCTAAAGATTTGCCACAGAACCTGTTGCCTCGAATTTACGCACCAGACGACCGATGGTTGTTTCGTTTGGGCGGTTGTTGCGACCGAAATGTTCACGAAGCGAGCGAAACGTGTTTTTTATTTTTGCACCATTTTTGTAGTGCTCTTGAATAACTTTAATGCGGTCTTCAATCGAATACGACTACATAGCGATCAATGGTTAATATTCAACTAACAAAATGACATGTCGGTGACAGAAAACAAAGATGGCGTCTATGTCAAATTGACGTTTACTTTCCTGCGTCCCTATTGGCCAACCCATTATATAATAATAAAACCAAATTAAATGAAAAATAAAAATTAAACCAAATAATTGATGTAAAATATAAACAATAATTGAATTAACGGAAAGTACGAAAGTACAACATATTACAGAAAAACATAATACAAGTTTTTTGACATTGTGTCAAGCATCAATATGTTTAACCTCTAGATAAAAATATAAAGCAAACATTTACAGTAAACATACAATGCAAGTTATTTGCCAGACATATGCCCAATCATGTGATTGGCCTAGTCCAAACGACCACAAATCAGTATTTTTGAGATACTGTCAAAATTTATACCACAAACAGCAGAAATTGAATTAAAATTTTCACTCAATATAATACTGGTGACTTTAGAAGCAAATTAGTTCTAGTTCTCTCTCAATGGAAGCTTTTGGTATTTCTAGTTCTCAAAAATCAATACTAGATAAAATTACGCTGGCACCAAAGTTATTGTGTGAGAGTTTATATAAAATTTTTGTAGAATTAGATTCAGACTTCCTGATTCAAATCTAAAAGTAAGATGCTCATAAAGTATGTATACCCGGTGATTTTCCAATGTGGCTCATTGCTACAACTTTTTTATTATTGAAGATCGAAAAACGAAATTTGGGACTTGCATATTATAGATGAATTTACATATTGACCTGCTTTGACGTACTTTCGGTTTGACCGGAGGCGACTCCAACTTTCGATTTTTAAATCGGACACCCTATATGTCTTTACTGTTGAACATATTTATAGTGGAAGCTGGTTATGAGGCAAGTGTAACTTGTGAAGTGTGGTCTCAAACTGTTGTCGGCAACGGGAGCTAAAGAAAAACGCGTATTGTCGTTAGGACTGTATTTAAGCGACTGCACGGAACAGTACCAAACAGGTACATTAGCGGATGTGGACCGTCTCATATGTCAGACTAGAGATGTCGCCACCCATATGTAATATCCGTGAATTCGTGATATTTACAACACCCCCCACTATATCAAGAATTCACCATTTAACAAGTGTTAAACCTAAACCTTATACAAATTTGGCATTCTTAACATTCTCTAAAGGTTTCGTCAAAATATTAGCTATCGTATCACTGGTCGGCATGTACTTCACATGAATTTTCTTATCAGAAATAACAGTCCTCACAAAATGATACCTGATATCGATATGCTTCGATCTATCATGGAAAACTGGATTGTTCGCTAGTTTCTGAGCACTTTGACTATCATTGTATATGTTAACACAATCCAATTTACCCGTCAAATCAAACAAAAGATTCTGGAAATACATGGCTTCTTTTGCTGCCTCGCTAAGAGCCATATACTCTCCCTCTGTTGTTGACAAAGCTACTGTTTGTTGTTCACAACTTTTCTATGAAACACATACACCAGAAAGTTTAAATACATAACCAGTATAAGATTTACGGTCTAGCTTATGTGACCCCCAATCAGCATCTGCAAACCCAAACAAACTTGAGTCATCTTAAATTTCATGGAAAGCTGTTTTGTCCCTGTTAAATATCGCAAAACCCTTTTTGCACATTGCCAATGAACTTAAGTATAACAATTGTTATACTGACTAAGTAAACTCACAATGTGGGCAATATCAGGACGTGTCATAACAACTAAATACAAAAGTCTACCAATCAATTCCCGATAAGGTAAGCTAACATCACATGTTTTAATCTCTACATTGTTCAAATCAGTACTTTTATCTGATGGAGTAAGTACTGCCTTACAATCTTCCACCTTAAAACGTTTAAAAAGATCGTCTATATAATCCTCTTGACTAATGGTAATACAATTCTCATTACTGTCCCTGATTATATTTAAACCTAGACATCTTTTAGCTTTTCCAAGGTTTTTAATCTTGAAATTCAAACTTAAATGTTTCTCAAGAAAATCAATTTCTTCCAAATCATTCGAGAAAACAAAGAAATCATCAACATACAAAGTAATTACAGTTAACAAACCTTTTTGCTACCAACCTTGCTTCATAATTACATCTGTTTTCACTATCATACTTCACTGTGAATACCCACTCACACTCCACTACTGTTGCACCTTTTGGAGCATCAATAAGTTCCCATGTCTCATTTTCTTTATGTGCATCTGGCCTAGATAGTGCTTCCTGAACAGTCTTGGGTAGATCAGAAATGTTCAGTGGTGATGATACACTGAAGTAACTAACATAGTTATCAAAATTTTTCTTTCCGACAACTCTCTCAGATCGCCTTGGTATCTCCCACAGTATCTGAAGCCTGAGTTTCCGCTGATTCTGGAACATAGTCACTATCATGTCCATCAGTGAACTCATCTTCTATCAAAGAATTCTCAGGTGAAGAAGATTGCTCTTTCACTGCCCCCCACTGGAACTGAAATCTCTGCTGTATCTTCCATGACTACACCT